GCAGGGAGACTAACATTGTGTGATGTGGAATCTAAGCGCCAGCATTTCTTTCAGGTACTTATCATGTTAGTCAAGAATGTTCTTTTATCTTAAGCTGTGGATAGAGGGAACTCTTCAACCAACATGCATTGCATCTAATTTTTGGCAGAAAAATAACATTGGGGATGCTGTAAATGATAAAGCTGAACACCCTTTGGTTCATATAATGTTTGTTGGACTATTTTTTTTCCCCAAATGTTGGTTCATTTACCTGTTAACCAAATTGTTAAAAAAAGAACTTGAGGTACCCCTTTTGCAACACTGTACCAAAAAAAAAAAAAAATCCCCTTTGCCTTCATTCCTTTCATCTCATTTGTTGACCGAAAACTACATGTCTTTTGACTAACCACAGTTTTGGAAGTCATACATCAAAAGGCCCATGATATTGGTTGGACCTAGCCTTGGTGCTGCTGTTGCAATTGATTTTGCCGTGAACCACCCAGAAGCTGTAAGCATCTTAGAACAATTGATCTAACTACTTTGTTACTAGTAGCTACATTTTGATAAACATTGCCAACCACATACCTTTATCCTCCTTGAACCTCTTTTCAGGTTGAAAGTCTTGTTTTGATTGATGCAAGTGTATATGCAGAAGGTACAGGAAACTTAGCAAAGCTACCAAGATCAGTAGCCTATGCTGGGGTTGGTCTTCTACTCAACAAAGACTTGATTTTTGCTGCTATTTGTTTTCTATTTTAGTTATAGCTTGTTAAATCTTTCTAGGGCAATTCTTCCATTGTAAGCAGGATCGTTGTTTTTCCTTTTTTTTTTTTACCCTTTTTTTATTTTTTTTTGTCCATATTGACTTCACCAAAATGCTAGAATTCCTGTCAATTATTTATTTACCTTTAAAATTTTTCATTTTCTTTTGGTGAAGACAGCTAAATGATATCATTCCTTGATACTTGTTTTGATCCATTTTGTTGGGGTTGGGGATAACATTCAGATCCTTTTAAGTAACTTCATCTCATAGTCATTGTATCCTCAATTGTTTCCACCTTAATTTTGTGAACATCTATTCTTACTCTCGTTCTGAATTGTCACTTATCCATCTCAATATATCTGAAGAGCAGGGATGAATTCTTTTGTTCAGTGCTTATTTATTTATTGACTTGGTTCTTTATTGCTTGTTTCCTCAATTCCTCAACATGCTTATGGATGGTTGATGCATTTCATTTTCATATGGCTGCTAATTTGAATAAGTTCCTCCTTTTCTTCTCCAACTGGCTTTTTCTTGGGGAGGTAGAGTGGTTTCCACTTATACATTGTTCTATAACCATAAGTTCTTCTGGATTAGGTTGCTTTACTGAAGAGTGTTCCCCTACGCTTATATGTGAACTTTTTGGCCTTCAATGGTATATCATTCAACACCAGCTTAGACTGGACTAATGTGAGTGTTTCCTTGCAAAACTGGTGCTCATGATAGCAATGCATATCAACCAACCTTTTTTACTTTTCTTCCCAGAAAAATTTTAATTTCCAGCTGGAAGTATCTAATGCCAAATTTGTTCTTGGAATCCTGCTAAGATTGGTCGCTTGCATTGTCTATATCCATGGTGGGAGGAAGCGACTGTGAATTTTATGATTAGTGGTGGTTATAATATCAGTCAAAAGATTGAGCAGGTTCGTCTACTGTAACTTTTCTGTCTGCCTAAATGAATGAAGCAGCTATTTCTGCAGGGCTTTTTGAGTAGTCACTTATTCTTGTTTATGAATTCCTATTTTTTTTTGTTTGGTATTAGATCTGATGCTTTTTTTTTTTTTCAATTTTTTTCCCTTTGCTTAGGACATTTTTTTAGTAAATATATATGAGATGACTTGAAATTTTTTATAATTTTCTATTTCATATAAAATGTAAATGTAAATTGAAGTTTTGGTTTGCAAGTTTGACATCTTTCACCTATAGTATTTTTCGCTAGTGTTCTGTACTCTGTAGGACATTTCCTATAACAAGCTTGAGCTTGAGCTTGAAATATAAGGTTCAATGAGCTCGAGCATGATAAAAATTTATATGCTCTTGAATTTTTGTGGTGCTCGGCTATAACCTAATGATGAGTCAAAAAGGCTTATTAAATTAGGAACAGGCTTGCAAGTTTCCATGGAAGCTATAAGTTTCCCTCTTGCTCTTCCTAGGATTAACATGGTTTTCTTGGGTTTGGTTTTGCAGCATAATCTTCTTAATAACCTCTCTATCTTATAACAAGGAAGCAAAAGTAAATAAAGTTGGAATAGTGAGCTATTTTAATCACAAACTTGATTATATTCACCTTAAAATGCTTTTAGGAGGAAGGTAATGGACTTTTAACCTAAAGTATTCTACCGTGTTCTATTTTGGTGCAAACATTTTCAATTGGCTACACTAGCCATCCCTGGGTCCTTGGGTGGAGCTTTGGCCAATATCTGTAAGTATCCTCAGGATTGTTGCATCAAAGGTTTAGATACGTGTGTTATCCAAAAGTGGTTTACTTTGTTAAGTGCATTTCATGCATAAGTCAAAAGTTCAAAGATTAGATGACTAAATAAAATACTAGGCTTGGAGTAATGATATTTATTTTCGAGCAAAAACAAATTATCATGGTAACCTATTAGGGTTCGGTAAAGTGGTAACGGGTAATGTGAACCATGTTGGAAATACATGTTCAACTCACTCCGTCATCATTTAAGTGCAAATGAATTCCAATGGGATTCTTGCCACCCCTGGGTGGAGATTTGCCGAGCGCAAGTTGGGCCAAAGTTCAGGTACCCATGTTATTATAAAAAGGAAGTGTGATAGCATAAATACACATTAGGTATATGAGTGTTTTTCAACTATGCAATGAGAGGGGTAGGACCATATAAGTATGCATAATTTGGTTGTATTTATTGTCTCAGCTCTTTATTACCCACCTGTATGTGGGTGCTTACTTGTTTGTCATTCCTATTTTGCAAATATGAGAACTCACCACTGCATTAACTGATGATTTTTTCTCCTTTTTGGGTGCATTCTGCTGGAGTAAATTCCTGCCAATCATGCAATGTTTTTTTCTTTTGGCTGAAATGCAATGTATTTTGTGTTTGGTCTTTTCTGAGATGCGAAATCAAATAATCCAAAAAAGATGTTCTTTAAAATACTGAACTTTGCACTGAGATGTTTAGTATGTTCTTCCTTTTCAAAAAAAATTGCCCCAAAATTTACTTCTCAGGCTACTTGTAAATTTGTAGGTCAAGCAGAAGACACTTATCATATGGGGTGAGGATGACCAGATTATTAGCAACAAGCTTGCAGTGGTTAGCATTTCTTAAACTTTTGCTTGGTGAAGGCATTAGCATGCCACAGTATAGAGAAGCAGCGAACTTTATCATGTTTTACATGCTTGAGAAATCCCTTCTAGAGACCTGAAAATTGATCTTTAGAGATTCAATTTATTGCTTAAATTTTAAAAGAACTTTCTACTGGACATTGGTCTCTTGAGCTGGAAACATTAGTTTTCTTGTATTTTATTTTTTCAAATTTTATTTTGCAGAGATTGCATTGTGAACTGCCAAATGCAACTAAACGCCAAGTAGCAGATTGTGGCCACCTTCCTCATGTAGAAAAGCCAAAATCTGTTGCAAGATTAATCTCAGAATTTGTTAGGGATTGTTGCCACGAAGACACTTGTTGCATTTAATTAAATAAAATTTCTTATT